AGTTGAAATGTATAAGAAATATTTTTTTGGTATGCCCGCGCACGTCAGTTGTGTCAAATTTAAACTATACCCATTTCCCACCCCCCTAGGGGGAGTACAAATTTTTTTGTTTTTCGGGGTTTTTAGCCGTAATTTTAAAACTTTTAGGTTGAAAATTTGCCAGTAGTCGGAACTCATATGTATCCATAACATATTAAACGGGTGAAAAATTCGGCACTACAGTTTTTTTTTAATTGCCGGAAAACTGTGTTTTCGCAGATTGCGTGTATTTTAACAAAAACACCTAAAATCTTTAAAAAAAATTGATCAAATCATTAAAACAATTTTATGTATATCTATGCAGAATGATACTATTAAGTTTTGTGCTCAATTACCACTTTTGACTTTAAGTTTACACAAGTTCAATTTTTTTTGGAAACGTCTATCCGTGTTAGATTAGGTTAGGGCCCATGGTCGTTATCATAATATTGTATTTATTACATGATATCACAGACGACTTAATCTTGTGACTGATTATAGTATACACAAGATTTATCGGGGAAAAAACCTATCCATGTACTAATTAAGACACTCAATGATTCTGATACGATAAAACCACTGTCGTTATCTCGTTATTTTATGGCCTGCGTTATATTACCTTACCGAAGGTCAACTATGAGTATATAAGGTCCAACTACCTGCAAATTATGAAGAGGACTGTTGTTTTTGGATTCAGATTAAGTGTTGGTTTTTATGCAGTATACCGCCCCAAAATGTATTTTTTATTACACAATTTTTTTAAAGGAAAACTATTATTTTGCATATTGTTATACTGTTATTCATTTAAAGAGATTCACGCTTGATTGTTTAAATTTACTTATATAAGATATGTAATCTGGTTCGTGCTAGTTTTAATTTTTAATTTTATAATTTTTTAGCTCTATTTTTGTATAAAATATTTAATTATTTTATAACTGTTTTCAAGTTAAGATATATTTTAATAGTATTTAAAAGTCATGAATGATAGTACTTTATTTTATGACTAGATCAAACATCGTGAACATTTAACATCATGTTACTGCTCCTATACTATTATTAAAAAACACAATTTTTAAAATCTCCATAAAAGGTTATTGTTAAATAACAGGCAACAGCCGACCGCTAATGGCTATACACGTTAGTAATATTTAACTAATAAGTAATATATGTAGGTAAGATTTATTATTTTCTCCATCACAGTACCAGTATACGATTTATTTTAATTTAAATGTAAGAAAATCAATTTTTCTTTAGAAAATAACAAGAAATTAATATACAGGATGGGGCAGCAAAACGGCGATTTTCTAATGTATTTAAATGGGAAAACCCGTTTCACTATCCCACCCTTTACATTTTAAGGATCTATGAAAAGGTTTTTTTTAGTTGCATTTTCTTTTGTACATTGCCAATCTAGTAAAATAGAAGTTTAATATAGCTTTGAAATAATATAACCTGTGAAGTATAAATAGTTTGTGTGAGATTGCCCTAATGGAAGTATATAATACATAAATATTAATTTTATTGAGAATAAGCGATTATAATTTAAACTATGGAGTACAAACGATTGAAACATGAATCGTCGACTATTCCAACAAAATATAACAAGACATTGTATATGTGTTATTTGGTCCACTACGTTTTTGCAAAAAAAAAACCAGTACAGTGGGGTCGGAGCATAGTGAGGACGGAGCATAGTTGGGTCGGGCATAGTGGGGACGGGGAGGTCACAGGTTTACAGGAATTTTTAAATCTGAAAGTGATAAAATCACTTACGAAAAAACGCTCCGATGCAAATCGGTAGTTAGTATTTTCAAGCCAGTACAGTCCAAACCAAGCACAGTATAAACCAGCAAAGTTAGAAAGTTTTAAATTAAGGTTTTGTATTTACAAATGAGCATCAAAGCGTTTCTTTAAAGGCGATTTTATTCAATTTTATCACTTTTATTTATAATAACTCTTGTAGACCTGTGACCTCACCGTTTCCTCATTGCTTTGATTACATTATGCCAATACTCTACTGTACTAGTCCTCTCGGATAAAATCACTTTCAAATTAACGCTTTGATGCTTATTTGTAAATACAGAACCTTAATTTAAAATGTTTTTACTTTGCTGGTTATACTGTGCTTGGTTTGGACTGTACTGGCTTGAAAATACTAACTACCGATTTGCATCAAAGCGTTTTTTCGAAAGTGATTTTATCACTTTCAGATTTAAAAATTCCTGTTAAACCTGTGATCTCCCCGTCCCCACTATGCCCCGACCCCACTGTACTGGTTTTTTTTTTTGTTTTGCAAAAACGTAGTGGACCAAATAACACATATACAATGTCTTGTTATATTTTGTTGGAATAGTCGACGATTCATGTTTCAATCGTTTGTACTCCATAGTTTAAATTATAATCGCTTATTCTCAATAAAATTAATATTTATGTATTATATACTTCCATTAGAGCAATCTCACACAAACTATTTATACTTCATCGATTATATTATTTCGAAGCTATATTATACTTCTATTCTACTAGATTGACAATATACAAAATAAAATGCAACTAAAAAAACCTTTTCATAGATCCTTAAAATGTAAAGAGTGAGATAGTGAAACGGGTAGGTTCCCTAAACGGTTACCATTTAAATACATTAGAAAATCGCCGTTTTGCTGCCCCATCCTGTATAGTAATTTCTTGTTATTTTATAAAGAAAAATTGATTTTCTTACATTTAAATTAAATTAAATCGTATACTGGTACTGTGATGGAGAAAACAATACATTTTACATACATATATTACTTATTAATTAAATATTACTAACGTGTACAGCCACTAGCGGTCGGCTGTTGCCTGTTACTTAACAATAATCTTTTATGGAGATTTTAATAATAGTATAGAAGCAGTATCATGATGTAACCCCAAACTTTAAGTCAAAAGTGGTACTTGTGCACAAAACTTAATTGTATCATTCTGCATAGATATACATCAAACTGTTTTAATGTTTTGATAAATTGTTTTTAAAGATTTTAGGTGTTTTTGTTAAAATATACGAAATCTGCGAAAACACAGTTTCCCGGCAATTAAAAAAAAACTGTTTTGCCGAATTTTTTTCCCGGTTAATATGTTATGGATACATATGAGTTCCAATTACTGGCAAATTTTCAACCCAAAAGTTTTAAAATTACGGCTAAAAACCCTGAAAAACAAAAAAACTTGTATTCCCCCTTGGGGGGTGGGAAATGGGTATAGTTTAAGTTTGACACAACTGACGTGTGCGGGCATACCAAATAATTATTTCTTATACATTTCAACTCGATCCGACTCTTTTTCTCGAAATTATAGCCAGTAAAAGTTCTAACTTAAAAACTCGTATGGTTTTTTTTAACTGTAAAAAAAAAGTTTTTTTTTCACGATTCGTGTTAGCCCCTCTCCTCCCATGAATATTCGTGAAATTGATCATAAACAAAATCTCTTTAAATATATAGTAAAAATGTATAATAGGGTTTATTGATATTAGATTTAAAATTAGAAAGATAATAAAGTTGTTTTTGATACTTGATTGGCATAGCAACGGCCACCGACGGCCGGCTATCAACTTAGCAACCGTGAATAGGGTTGTTATTTTGGAGGAGGAGACATCTTTTGAGCAATCCGTCACCGAGAATCGATAGAGGCGGTAGGGTTACCTACTTGGAATAGTTTTGGGAACCTAGCACTACTCTAAGACCAATTTATCTACGAAAAATGGCTATGTTCTAGACTCCCTACCAAAAAAGTCAGCACTTTAATGTAGTGAGGTTATGTTAGGTAGTCAAAGTAATCATATCTCCATTGTGGCCAAATATACTATTTCTTTGGATCATTACCTCACTTCACTTCTACTTTTGTGAGCAACACTTCTCTTTTATTGTATTTCTTAACACTTACAATGTAATATCATTATTAAATGTACTCACTTTGTTACTGAGTTACGTGGTAGATGGGAAAGAGGAACTCAGAACAAAATAAAAAGGTTCAGATTCCCTCCCAAAAAAAATCAGCCAATTCAAGTAGTGAAATCTACGTTGCGGTCAAGTGCAATTAGCGCCTAGCGCTACTAGTCGGTCTGTGGTTGTAGGGGACCCCCTTTGGGGGGAACCACAAAAGCCAAGGTACGCCCAATGCGGTCAAGTCTGTTTTATGCCTCATTTAGAAAGGTCATTTAAAATGCGTTAGGATATTTATAATTAAAAGACGATTTTGTTGTCCTTTTTGTTTTAAATTACCGCACACTCATCCTTTTTGCTAAGAAACCCATAATTGTTTTTTAGTAGAACGTTGCAATCACACTGTAGATAAATTATCTACATCGGAGTCACTATAATAAATTTAATTGCTATGAGCACGTCTATTAATATTAAATGTTTTGAACAAATTATTGTATTTTATTAATTACTTCTCATACTGTGAACAACGTTTTTTTATGAAAAAAATAATATCTAAACAAATTACTAAGCAAAAAAACTTATTGTACCGTTTTTAGTGAACCGTGATAATAGTTTGTGCATAACAAATGGTTAGTTTATTTATGTTTTATGAACAGAGTAAATATATTAACATGGGTACAGTGAATATATTACGCAGAAAAGAATAGATCTTGAGAGAAAGATCTCACATCAGTGGTATGTAATATCTATGCACGTATTTTAATTAATTTTATTCGTATCGGATGTGCCGACGAGTTCATATTGTTTTCGTTAAATTAGGCAGAAAATAAATAATTTTTGTTTTTGAAAATGCTTTAAATCGATCCGTAAAATATGGTAAAAATATTAAGTATTTGTTTAAATCAACTCATAAGCAATATATGTCATTATAATCGTGAACTGTTTATTGTGAATTACATTAAATTGTAAATTAACAATTATAAGTGATAACATTAGTATATAAGTGCAAAATGTAAATATTATTTAAATAAAACAAAAAAAGTACATTTTCATTGTCAAAGAGTTACTCGTACTGGTTCTAGTTTGAGTGGAATCATACCGCCTGTGGTGATTTCGTGCCATTGGTTCCAAACTTTTCTAAATTCTCTGGTTCCTCGAGTACTTTCTATTTTACACGAACCACCAGAGACAACAACATTTCGTGAAAACCATGGAGGGGTATAGTTTTTTGCACTTAGAAAAATCGCAATGAAACGACACGTCGAACGTACACCAGGCAAATTGCTAACTAAAAAATAATAAAACAATCATCTACGTTACTTAAAAATAAAATTACAATAGAAAGTGCATGGCGTCTTTTTGAGCAGCTATTTTTATTATGTGTTAGTAGTGACTAGGTAGTATAAAAAAACAAAAAATGTTTTCTCTAGTTATCACTTATTATGTTCATTGTTCAATATTATCATTAGTTGCATCCTTGATATATTGTTATGAATTAACAACACATAATAAATAGTAGAAGTATTGACGTTAAAACGTAAAATAATTCCATTAATATTATTACAAAAAAATTACATTTTAGTAAAAGAATCTAATCAAGGTCTATAATATACAGATACGATTTGTGTTGTTTGGGTGTTCTGTAATTTGAATACAGTAAAAAAACAACTAAATTTGCATGTAAAAATGATATAAATACAGTGAAATATGAGATATTTATGTCTCTAAAGTATACGTTGGAATAATAATAATTTTTTGCTTTAACTGGTTATTGTGTACCTAAAATAATACTCCAGTAATTATAGTATATCATGATTACATTACACTCTTTTTTTACTCTTATATTTACCTATTAACCGGTTCCACATTCGTTTTAAAACTCCCAGAGTAACAGATCTTCTTTGTTCTGCTAGGTCTACCAAATGGTATGATGCAAAATCTGTGAATTTATTAAATGACCGTGTTCATATATATAGACACGGTGATCCACATATCGTGACCTACTCAATATCTCATAGGGTTTAATAAGACATTCATTTTTTTTTTCACATTGCTTTTTATACAATGTAATCTTAATTTTTCACAATTTTTTTTTGTTTTTACCCCCTACCAACTTTGATAGTTTTTTTGAAAGCCACTTTTGATAGTTATAAGAGTTTATAAGTTATGATTGGAGGGGAAGTGCGGTTTGGAAAATGCGCGCAAATAAAATAAATAATACACTCCACTTTTCTCCTGCCCTAAACTTGAAACATCAATTAATTGAAAAATAGCTATCTGAAACTGGTTATCGCTAGTCAACACTTTTACTTGTTTTACATGTAAAAAACCAGGTCATACATCTACTCACTGTAAATAATTCGCTAAATAAATCTATATACTAACGAAACCAAAGTAACTCAGAAACTCCCTAGAATACTACTTTCTCCCAATCAAATACACCAATCAACTAGACAGCAACCACATAGATCTTGATCAGCACACTACTCAGTCATAATCCAGATATTGAAAAAAAAACCCAAAATACGAGCGCACTAAATAATCCTTCAGTAGAAACTCTTTCACCCCAACAATCCAAAAGACCACCATCATCATCTAGCACCTCAAGTCACCAACCAAATAAAAATACAACCAATATAACACTAATGGCGTCATCCCCTAAAATTCTTCACTAAACCAAAAAATTAAAAAAAATTCTTCATTACAAAACTTCTGTCAAAGCATACACGACACATTAAAACTTGCATCGAAGTATTTTGAAAGAGGAAAAACCCAACCAATAAGCTACAATGAATTCAAAAATCTAATACAAGATCTCCAACAATGTACAGACCCAATTAATATTATACACAACTATTGTAATGATACAAAACAAATACTAAAAATTATAGATTATGTATATATAATATATAACAGATCGTAGCCTTAAATTTGCAAAAACGAAATATATCAAAAAAATTAAACCCAATTGAACACACAACCCGTCCATGTAGACTATACTACAGTCCTCACAAATAATGAACAACTTAATCCAATGGTTTCATTATTATGGTTCCACGATCTAAGGTATTTCAAAAGACTCATTAATATAAAAATATTAATAACACAAACCAACCCTGTCGTAATAAGTGTCCAAGATACCAGCTTAAACCACTCCAATTCATCTGAACCAACAGGATACATCAGGTCTCACAACATCCGTTCAAACCCCCGGAGAGCTAGCGGGGGAGTATCCGCACTTATTAAGTCTGATATTTACTGTGAAAAATTACAAACTTCATCGTCAATAGAAAATATATCCACTTTAATACACCTCTAACAAAAAATGTGTAATATTTATGCACCAGATAGCTCTCCCCTAAACTTTAAGAACCTTTGAACCTTAATAAGCCCACTTCCACCTCCTTTTATCATCCTAGAAGACTTCAATAGCTGCAACATCATTTGGGGTAGAAAATCTACCTAAACATGAGGTAAAACAGTAGAAAAAATACTCGAAGACGACAATTTATTCTTAACAACAATGAACCCACACTATTTAACGCAGGAAACGGCTCCTTTTCAGTCATAGATTTGACTATAGCCGGGTTTTGCTGAGCTGGGTATTATCTCAGCCTCAATCTAAAATGGAATATGATTAACTCATTAAGACAGTGGCCAAACAAAAACTAAATATGGAATCTGAACAACCGAAAGTTAAAACTATATAGATAATTGCCTAGGAAATATCCCAGTAAGCATCAATCCAGATTATATCAATGAAACTATCAACACACTTACATTATCTTCAATGAAGCCGCTGAAATTTCAGTTAGATATGAAAAACACTTTATCAGACCAAAAACAGTACCTTGGTGGAATAATGTCTGTGCAGTAGCAATAAAAGGACTCCAAGGCAGAAAAAGCCAAAGTTCTGGACCAGATGGTGTACCATTTATTTTCTTACAAAAACATTCACTGCTCAGCACATCACAAACCCTACTAAACATATATCACACAATCCGGTCATCAGGTAACTTACCTTCCAGCTGGAAAACAGCTATAACTATTCCAAACCCAAACCAAATAAAGACAAGTCTGAGCCCGAACATTGTCATCCAGTATTATGCACAATGAGTAAAACACTTGGAAAATAGTTGACACTAGAATCAGATGGTTCTTAGAGTCAAACAAACTCTTAGCTAGAGAACACAGTAGTTTTAGAAAACACCGTACGATAAAAGACACCGCTAACTATTACAACGTTTCATAAAATCTCAGTCCAGCTTCCAATAATAGAGACTATTTGCATAAAAACATCAAACTATCCACACTGGAAAATAGACCTTCAATCAAGAGGCAATACAAAATTAACAGAGTTTAAAAAACCAAATACAGATCAGGAAACTTCTCTAAACAAGGTTTATAACATCATTCAAACCTAATTTCTTGAAATCAACAGATCTATACTGATGCATCACAATCCGAAACCGGAGTAGGAATAGCCATTGTTAATAACGAAAATATAAGTCAATATAAAATGAACAATTTCATTAACTTCTTTTCAGCGGAGGCCCTAGCTATATGTAACTGCACTAGCATTCTCAATAAACTTTAACAAAACAATCGTCATTAGTGACTCTCTCAGTGTTTTGGATACAGTCAAAAACATCAAATCAAACAAATACAATCCTCTATCTTTTCTCAATTAACTCAAATTATCTTACTTTGGGTACCCTCTTATACTAACATCTCACAAAATGAAACAACAGATAAAGCAGCAAAAGAATCATCAATAAAAACACATATACCACTGATTTTTAATGTTTCATACAATGACCTAAAAACACTAATAAACGAGCTATGTGCAAACAAATGACAAAACAATTGGGATAACATAGGAATTAATAAACTGAAATCATGTGAAACATAAAAAAAAATGTAACGGAACCCCTCATATTTCGAGAAGAGAATCCGTATGTCTAACAAGACTTCGAATTTGCCACTCAAACCACACTTCACATAGATTCCAACTATTTGGGATCGGTTACCTTTTTCCTAAACCTGCACTCAAAATTATACCCACAACATATACCAGTAGTTCTCATCACATTCTCAATTGCACTCGGCCAAATTTGTTCATTTTCATTTCCAATACACTAATTTATTATTGTATTTTCCTATTTCTTACGGACCGAAGCTACATGATCGACTTTTGGTAATACAAATTTATATTCTAAAAAAGTCTTTAAGGCTAATAAAAATTATCAAAAAGTTCGTAATTACTTCGGTCAGGAATATCAGGAAAAATAACCTCTGTAACAAATATATCAATAGTCAATTTGTTACACAGTCAATAAAAATAATTTTTATACATTAACTATACAGTTACTCTTAAACTATGATTAATTAATACAAAATTTAGTATTTATATGAAATTATTTCTAAAAACAACGTTTCAATTTATGTTTAGATTTTATATTTACGTGTGTGATCACGTATTTGGGATCGTAGCGCGTCCTGGATTTCCTCGCAATCTGTAAATTTACATAAAATAAATTGTAATTATTTATTTCTTGTGATGCAAACCAATATAAATAAATGTATGCATATTATATTAATATTATGATTAGCCTCTATAATATGTATAGAATAAAATTAATTTGTGTAAACTATTGTAAATATGGTATATAAATTTGTAGTTACTAGTCCAGCTTCTATTATAGATAAAGTCTGAAAATAAAACAAAAACATTGCGTACTCAACGAATATCAAACAAATGTATGGAATTAATTCTATTATATTCTTTTAAAATATTACCAGGTACAGCGAACATATTATTCATAAAATCTAAAATTAACATAACATAAATTAATGTTATGTAAATACCTAAAAATGTAATGTATTATAAATACCTAAACTAAAATTAGGATTATCAACAATTTTTTCAATCACATACTCCAATGCGTCTGAAATAAAAAAAAATGTTTAAACAAACCCTAAATAAATTTACAAATTATCAGAGTAAACACATGCTTACAACATATATTTTGTATTGACAATTTACCCAACCGCTACTCCCCCTATTAGATTGAGTAGTCACTGCCTAAGGCCAAGTGTACTAAATTATAAAAACCTCTATACTACTATTAAATATAATTATAAATTATATGATATTTATATATTTAACAAGTCAGACAGTGTTTAGAAAATTGATTCTGTATACTTCGTCCACCTTTCTAAACTGGTTTTAGAAACAATAATTTTTAATTTATAAATAGCTCGACCGTCAGCCAAACATAACAAAACAAAAATGTATTAGTGAATTAGTTTTAAATATATATTACTTTCCACCAAACCAGTTTGTCCGTTAATGACAGTCATTCCATTAGCACAGTGTAAGTGGTAAGCTGTAATGCATAATTAAAAAAAATATTTATAAAAACGTTATTTTTATAAAATAAAAATTCTACTGACTTGTAATGGAGACGGATCTTTTATAATCCGCTGAAAAAAAAAAGAAATATTAATTTTTTTTTTAATTATTCTACTACCGTAAGTAGGTAAGTACTGAATAAAAATAATAATGGAAAATACTGAATTTCTGTAATTTGGTATCTAAATTAAATACATAAGCGTGAAAACAAAATAGTTACTTAACACATCTGTTGAAACAACTACAATGACACATGATACTATAAACCAAAAGATTTTCATTTTTATCTGTAAAAAATAATAAATTTAAGGATAGTATTAGCTATTTGAATCTATGTTTTGGTAAAAAAAAAAATATAAGTAAACGTCGTTAATTGACACTTAAAAAAATATGAGAAAGTGCTTTAAGTTTTTGAGTAGGACTGAGTAATTGTTTTTACCACACTCTTAAATAAATATATGGTATAATAAACTGTAATTACCACTCATTTTTTTAACATTAATTTGTTAAATTATAACTTTTATGATTTTATTTTAACTTTATACATTATTAAAAATTAAAAAATTAAAAAATTTCGACATAATATTTATTTAAATGGGTGAGTTAGTCGTTTTGCTGCAGAGCATCAGCAACCTTTTCGGCCCCACAGTGCTCCATTCTTTATTTTAAAGCATAGAGGGGACGGAGATGTCATAGGTCTAGTGTCTACAGAAATTATTATTAATACAAGTGATAAATTGCTTTTGTATAAACGCTTTGATGCTGATTTTTAAACACTACATCTCACTTTAATTCTTACTTTCTGTGTTGGTTTATGCCGGAGTTGGTTTGGACTTAACTAGTTTGAAAATACTAACTTCTGATTCGCATTGACGCGTTTATTCGAAAATGATTTTATCACTTTCAGTTGTAATAATTGCTGTAAACCTGTAACCTCCCCGTGCCCACTATGCCCCGACCTCATTGTACTGGCTTTTTAGTTACTTAAATGAAATTAACTCAATCCGCAAAAATAGGAGTTCTGTTAAAATCATTTTTATATAATAAAAATAACGATGAAAATAATTCGTCTATATTTTAAACATGTTAATGCTTATTATCATAGCAGTACGTAATATATTTATTCTTTAAAATTTTATTAAAATACCTATTTGTACTATAATGACTATGGTTTAACGATTAAATTGTACCGCTATTCTTAACCCAAAAACTAAATCTAATAAAAAGGTATTGAAGGCATACTTACAATGCGTGTTATTAGGTCGAACGGTACAGAAAAACTAAACGTACTATGCAGAGTTGTCCATGAAAATGTATTAACTTCAAGCAGGATTGTTTTGTTCGGTATGTTTTCTTATTTACATTACTCTGACGTAGTTTGAACTTCTGTTTTTGTGAACATTTAGTTGCAAAAACATGTGTTTGTTAAAATGCCAAGAGTACCTAGCTACAAGAAACGATTGCAGAACATATTAAAAACCGTTTTACAGAAAACATTACTATATTCTAATATAGACGACAAGTTTTGTTCACGATTCGTATTAGTTGCCCTTCCACCACAAATCATAAATATTGTTACACTCCAAAAATCTTTTATATGTTAAACTATTCAGGGGGGAAACCAAATTATTTTGTAATTAAAAATATGTGCTAAAGAAATGACTTACACACGTATATCTTGTTTTCTAGTTGACTATTAGCTATTGTGTAAACAGAATATTTAACTATAATTAAAAGATTCTAAATGTTTTTTGAATAACTTAAAGTCCTTGAGTTTTATCATAAACTATTTTAAGTATAGTATATTAATACTACTTGTATTTTACATATTAGCTTAAATTTCTACAAAATACGATTGCAGAACATACAAAAAACGTTTTTACAGAAAATATTATTTTATTCTGATATAGACGACAAGTTTTGTTCACGATTCGTGTTAGTTGACCTCCAACCACAAATACGTTCCTGAAATTGATCTTGAACAAAATTATTTTTAAAAATATTGTAAGAATGTATACTATTGTTTATCGATATTAGATTTATAACTAGAAAGATAGTAATTAATATAATCTTATGTCCTCAACATTAATGGGAACGGAAAGCGCTACTAGTTAATGGGGCAAGGGATGGTAGGCATTATTTAACGAATATTGTTCTAGTAAACATTTTAAATATGCCGACTAATTTTCTAAATTTCGCCTATAAACTGTGTTATTGTAAAACCTATAAGCAAATCTTATTTTTATAGGTCTTGAAAAAATCCATAAAGTCACTTAAGCACTATAAACATGGATCATTACAATTTTGTTTTTAAGATGGTTATTAAGACGTGTTATGCAGAGTTCCCATGCAAATTGTTTAACTTCAAGCGGAATTGTTTTGTTCGATATGTTTACTTATTCACATTACTCTGACGTAGTTTAAACTTCTGTTGTTGTAAACATATATTTGCCAAAAAAATGTTTTTCTTATATTAATACAAAGAGTACCTGACCACAAGATATAATTGTAGAAAATATTAAGAACATATTGAAAGGAATAAAATTCAATAAACTTAAACCTCAACATTGCTACTATTAGATTTTAAGGACTAGTTCTTGTTTAATATTTTTTGTAGTCCTCCTCCCCACATTTGGGAAAATGATTCTTAACAAACTTCTCTCCAATTGTAGATTTATAATTAGAAAGCTAGTAAATATGATTTTACGTCCACACCATTAAGGGGAATAGAAAGACATTTTAAATTTGTCGACTAATTTTAAGAAGAAAAGTTATACATTTTTTTTATATAAAACTTTTATATTTTTTTTTCTTTGACTTATGACTCTGATTATGTTTGATAAAAATTGTTGAGTTCTTAATAGTATTTTTCTGGGGTGTCAGTTCTAAAAGAAAGATTTCAATTTTTTTTCCGTGTTAAGTTTACCATTTTTTCTATACCCCCTAAAAAGGACCGTTTTTTTTATTAACCTTTTAGAAATTTCGTTAGACTTATTGAATAAATATAAACACTAATAATAAAATGTTGGAAACGAAGATAATATTTAATCGGCCTTTTGGTCCCATAGAAAAGATGTTATACTAACTAAAAATATGATTACTGTGGGGTTGGCGGAGCATAATGAAATGTATAGTGAGCACAAGAAAGTCGTCAATTTAACCGTTTTCAAAGTATTATTACTTCTTCTTCTTCTTCTTCCTCAGCTTATCGGCCCATTAAGTGCCATCGCTGCCATCACAAAACCTCTCCATTTCTCTCTATCGTATGCGTCGTCAAAAGATGACTCTTCTTCTATGTTTTTGATATCTTGAGCTATAACATCCACCCATCGGGTCCTTGTTCTTCCTAATGGACGTTTTTTTATTTATTTTGTTAACTAAGACTTCTTTTATTACTTGTCCATCCGCTCTCTAAACATGGCCGAACCATTCTAGTCGTTTGCTTTTTATGTATGAAATAATATTTGGCCTGTTATATAACTCCTGTAGTTCTTGATTTTTCCTTCTTTCGTAAGTTTGTGTTTCTGCATTGAATTTCGGGCCGTATAAATTTCTCAGTACTTTTCTTTCGAAGGTCATTAGTCGTCTGCTGTCTCCTTTGGTCAGTGACCATGTTTCACTCGCGTATGTGATTATTGGTCGTAGATAGCTATGATACAGTAGTGTCTTTGAGTTATGTGACAGCAGTTTTGATTTAAGGAGTCTCCTTATGCTATAGTAGCATTGATTGCCGCATGCTATTCGATCATTGATTTCTTCATGCATGTCGTTGTTGCTATTTATGTTAACACCTAGGTACTTAAATACCTCCACTTTCTTGAAACTATTGTCATCTACTGTTATGTGGTCTATGTTTGGACTTCTTCTTGTTACCATTAAGTATTTCGTCATTTCCTCATTTACACACAGCCCTATGGTTTTACTTGCTTTCAAGAGTTTGGACGCAGTATTTATGACTTCATCTCTAGTTTCTCCCATTACTACAATGTCATCTGCGTATGCCAATATTACTCGTTCCCCACATATTTCCATTTTTCGACCGTCCCATACTTCTCTAATTGCTTTTTCTAATGCTAGATTAAACAAGGTGGGTGATAGAGCATCACCTTGTCTGAGGCCTGATTTTACCTCAAAGGTTTTAGACATTTCTTGCAGGAAACGAACTCTGCACACAGTTCCATTGTTACATCCTTTTATAAGACTTACGTACTTTTTAGGAATGCCTAGTACTTTCAGTGCTTCCCATAGTTTGTCCCTATCAATGCTATCATAAGCTTGCTTATAGTCTATAAATATAAAGTGCAGTTCTTTATCAAATTCATAAAACTTAGCCATTATCTGTCTCAGTGTAAAAATATGGTCCAATGTCGATTTACCTTTTCTAAAGCCGCTTTGATATTCCCCGACTATTTAGTTTACATATGGGTTAATCCTTTCTAATATTAATGACGTATACACTTTGTAACACGTGTCTAAGAGAGATATACCTCTGTAGTTCTTTGTTTTGGTCGGATCCCCCTTTTTTAATATAGGACATATTACTGCAGTATTCCAGTAGTTCTGGAAGGGTTTCTGTATCCCATATAATTGAAATCATCTCCATAATTTCTCTTCTTATTTTAGCACCCCCTTTTTTCAGTAACTCGGCCACTATATTGTTTTCTCCGGGTGCTTTATTGTTCTTAAGCTTATTGATTATATTGTCGATTTCTTCTTGTTTAGGTTTTTCTATCTTCGGTTCTGCTGTATAGTAATAGACAGTTTCGTTGTCTTCCTCTACAACTGGTTGATTTAAGAGCTGATTAAAGTATTCTTTGAAATGGCTCACTATATTCTTCTCTTCTGTGATTAGGTTTCCAAAATCATCTGAAAGTATTCTTGTCTGTGGTTTGAAACCAGCTTTGATACTTCCGCTTTCATTGAAAAACTTTCTAGCATTGAATCTACTCCTTTCAATCTCCTCTATCTTTTTCTTTTCATGTAACCGTTTCTCTCTCCTCAAAATTCTGTTTGTCTGCCTACTTTGTTCTTTGAAAATATCAATATTTTCCTGTGAGGAATTTTGTAACATTATTTTTCTCAGTTCATTTCTCTTGGTTACGGCATCACTACATAAATCATTGAACCAGTCTTTTTTTCGCTGCTTTTTCTCCATTCCTAAGACTTGATTTGCACTGTTAGTCATTACGTGTTTTATTTGTGTCTATCTACTGTTTACACAAACGTTCATGTCATTCGTCTTTTCTATGTGACTATTAGTCATTTCTAGGTTTTGTTGTAGATGTTCGGCGTACTTTCTACTTATTTCGATATTTTCTAACATTTGTACGTTAAATCTTTCTCTGGCTTTTTTCGATGCCATTTTCCATTTCACTGACAGTCTTAGAATGAACTTTGCATACAGTAGGTAGTGGTCGGTATCTGCATTGGCTCCTCTATACGATCTCACCTTCTGAATGCAGCTACCGTGTCTTTTGTTTATTAGTATGTGGTCTATTTGATTTTGCGTCCTACCATCAGGTGACTTCCATGTATGCTTGTGTATGCCTTTTCGGGGAAAATATGTGCTACTAATTATAAGGTCTTTCGAAGAAGCAAAATTGACCAGTCTGGTTCCGTTGTTATTACTGATGTTATGTAAGCTGTCTGGTCCTATTGTTGGTCTAAACCTATTTTCTTTTCCAACTTTCGCATTGAAATCCCCTACTACCATCTTTACACAATGTAACGGTAAACTATCATATACTCGTTCCAGGTCTTCATAGAAATTGTCTTTAATGTCTTCATTTTTATCTTCCGTTGGTGCGTAGCAGTTTATAATGACTAGGTCAAATAGCCTACCTGCTATTCGGATGTAGCAAATCCGATCTGAGACTGCTGAAAAATGTTTTATGCATGGTAGTACTTTGTCCTGTACCATAAAACCCACTCCATTTTCATGTTTTCCATTTTCAGATCCGCTATAGAAAAGAGTTATATTTTCTTTTTTGATATTCCCGTTACCAGTCCACCTGATCTCTTGTATAGCTAATACGTCCAGTTTATACTTGTTTTGCTCTTCGAGTACATATTTTAGAGCTCCAGGTTTATTTAAAGTTCTTATGTTCCAAGTTCCCAAATTTAGTCCGTTTTCCGATTCCAGTTGTTTTCCATGATTGATCCAGTTCCGAGGCTTATTACAAAGTATTATTACAAAAGGAAATATGTAGTAAAATCTTTTTTGAACAAAATGCTTCGATGCAAATGTATGGGTGGTACAAAAATTGTATTTTTATTCATACATTAAAAAGTTATACTCATTTGAAATTTATGAAAATTTGAAAATTTCTCTCCGCGTTTATTGTGTCAGCCATTGAAACGTTTTTTTAAATCACAATTCTTCATCTTTACATTTTACCAAAGCTTTTTTTTACTGATTAAATGAATACATACAATATAAAAATTATTGATATTGGACTAACCACACTCATATAGACATATTTTGTAGGGAGTTTGTAGACTTTGAACACAGAATAGATAATATTCTTTATTGAGGGATAATTTCAACAAACAGAACATTTCCGCAAAAGAACGGCGACAATCACATTTTAGCTTCGATGCAAAGCGATAAGGTATTGGTTTTACTCTGATGTATGTTTTTTTTTTATCTGTATACACTGTAACTTCTTTAATACTGGACCAATTCCTTCGAATAGCAACTCTATAAATCGCAATTTTCATCTAGTTGGTACTTTGGGGGGGTAAAAGTTGAAAAAGTTTAACTCTTCACAGGCGAAAGTTGAAAAAACAAAAAAAAAACCGTACGAGTTTTTAAGTTAGAACTTTTACTGGCTATAGCTTCGAGAAAAACAGTCGGATCGAGTTGAAATTTATAAGAAATATTTATTTAGTATGCCCGCGCACGTCAGTTATATCAAATTTGAATTTAACCCAATGCCCACCCCCCTAGGGGGGGTACAGGTTTTTTTGTTTTTCGCGGTTTTTAGCCGTAATTTTAAGACCTTTGGGTTGAAAATTTGCCAGTAGTTGGAACTCATATGTATCCATAACATATTAAACGGAAAAATAATTCGGCACTACAGTTTTTTTTTAATAGCCGGAAAACTGTGTTTTCGCAGATTGCGTATATTTTAACAAAAAACACTTAAAATCTTAAAAAAACCAGTACAGTGGGGTCGGGGCATAGTGGGGACGGAGCATAGTGGGGACGGGGAGGTCACAGGTTTATAGGAATTTTTAAATCTGAAAGTGATAAAATCACTTTCGAAAAAACGCTTCGATGCAAATCGGTAGTTAGTATTTTCAAGGCAGTACAATCTAAACCAAGCACAGTGTAAGCTAGGAAAGTTAGAAAGTAATAAATTGAATCGGCCATTTCAAAAACGACTTAGGTCACCGATTTTTCAAAACTGTCTTTTTATTCAATTTTATCACTTTTATATATAATAATTCTTGTAGACCTGTGACCTCTCCGTTTCCTCATTGCTTTGATTACATTATGCCAATACTCTACTATACTAGTCCTCTCGGATAAAATCGCTTTCAAATAAACGCTTTGATGCTTCTATTTTGTAATTTTATCAGTCATTTAAAAAACGACACAAGTCACAAATTTGAAATATTACACTAGCCACAAGAAACTTCATAAATATATTTTGCAGTGATTTAAATTTCTTGTACTCAACATTTGTATTAAATATGAGTCTGACAAATTGAGTTTTCACACAGAATACGTAGCTAAGTATATAATTATTACATTTGATAAAAAGACAGTTTTGAAAAATCGGTGACCTAAGTCGTTTTTGAAATGGCCGATTCAATTTATTACTTTCTAACTTTCCTAGCTTACACTGTGCTTGGTTTAGATTGTACTGCCTTGAAAATACTAACTACCGATTTGCATCGAAGCGTTTTTTCGAAAGTGATTTTATCACTTTCAGATTTAAAAATTCCTATAAACCTGTGACCTCCCCGTCCCCACTATGCTCCGTCCCCACTATGCCCCGACCCCACTGTACTGGTTTTTTTTAACATACATATATATGTTTTCACTATCAGCTGCTAATAATAAAAAGAAAATTAATTATTGAGGAGAAATAATCTAAAAACATAGGCAGTTTGAAAATGTTAGATTTACTGTAATGTACAGCGCACAGTCTGGTTTTACAAATATGTTTTTTTTTATAACAATTTATGACTCATAATAAAAAAAAAAACCGAATATCGACAAAATAACAAATGGCTAACATTTAAAATGCGCATAAAGATGTATTGAAAAATTGATGATTTTATGTCATAATATAAACTTTGATAACTACACAAAGGTTGTTTAGAATCAATAGATATGTGGTATAGCATAACACATGTTTGCATTAAATTCAAAGTCGACCATTATTTCCACCAACCATACCGTTAAGTTCAAAGAGTGATCATTTGTTGTTTAGTCAGTATAAGAACATTTTCTATAGTTTTACTATTTTTTTAAATTTTTTTTATGCAGACCAAGTTGCTTGTTTTAAATGAACGTTTCGATTTGCTTGCACAATAGTACCATATTGTTACAAATATTATAGTAAATACAAATTTTGTATGAAAACATTTTTACCAACACTTATTTGTATTTTAGTTAGCATAATAAAATAGTTCAAACATTAGAATAGGCGCCTAGACAAACGGCAAAACCAAATACCTTAAAAAAAAAATACACTTGTTTTCGACAAAAACAAGTTCAGTTAAGAAACTTGTTGAGCAGCTGTGGCCTAGATGTATATTTTTAATAAAATAATAATAACGTATAAAAAACGACTGAATATTTTACTTGTAAACTAAGCGATAAGCTTATATGAAAAAAAAAAACAAAATGTGTTTTTATGATTCACACCTAGGATATAAATAAACCGATACATAGCATACATGGTATATTGTATATAGCATACAGGTGCTTATAATCCATAGTAAACTACAACAATTTTTTACTAATTTTAAGGTACTATACTTATAAAAAAATATCATGTTGCGGACAACTTTTATACGTTTTTTATTATTGCAAAAAATATTATAAGGAGTACAATTTTGTATTTCAATAAGTTATTTTCGTTTGTACAATACTGCCAAAACAAGTTTGCAAACCGTTTCGATACTTATAAAACGTTATTGGTTTACCCACTAAAAAAAACGAAAATAGATTTCCAAAAAAAAAAAAACTTAGTAAGGGGTTATTGAAATGGTACACCTTAAGACTAGTAGAAAATAACTGCTTTCTATCTCTAATTTAAATAGGTCATGATGGTTTTGTCGATGCTGCTTTTTGTCTCAAGGGGTTGAGGGGGATTAAAAAGATTTAATAGGTTTGGACTTCCGGGAAACACTTGTAGATCTCAAGCAACGTCTAAAGATTATTAAATTGATTTAAATATTTAACGAGTAGATGTCATATTTAAACGATATGTTAATTTGCTGGTATATTACTTTTTTTAAAAAACATTTCATCAACAATATCGGGTGAAGAGTAATATTTTTGATTGCATTTTTAAACTGGACACATTTAGGTCAATAGTAGACACGAATAGTATGCAGATTGTTCCTTGAACGAACTTTTAATCGCCAAAAACGCATATTTTAATCAAAGACCGTTTTCGTTGGCGAACGTAAAAAAAGACAAACGAGACATTTTAATGAGCATTGTAGTTTTCCGTCATTTCTTGAGTTGCCTTTGGCGCAATTACAAGACCGTCTACTTTTAATTACATTCCGTTTGTTCTCAACCAGTTATTAGCATGACAAAAATGTTCTGTCGTTTTGCTGTCCTTATGACTATATATACTATACTTGGTACCTAATTAAGTGAAATGTTGCAAATTGAGCTCTCTGTTTTAGACCGAATTGAGTTTGAAACCGTTTGTAAGACAGTTTAGTACATCTTACTGTATAATTTGTAAACTTCAAAAATATATAGTTTTGGATTTCCTTTGCACGATACCGACTATAGGTCGGTTGGTTTTAAACGACATCTGTACAGAAATAACAGTAATATAATTTAATAATCTACGCAGTTTTTTTTTATGCGTTTTCAGTCATTGACAAAAGTCATTTAGTCAAACGTGCCCGAATAAATACATACATTAACATAACATTAAACCGCTGCAATGGTCGTTAGGTATTTTTTTAACGGCTGGAAAAAGCCAACTCGACCATAGCTAAGCGAAACCATTAAGGGTACAACCGTAGTATCAAGTTAACCGTGTCTATTGTATATATTACCCGAAAGTTAAAAAAAACCCCAGAATTCACATATTTGGGTGTGTAGATCATTCCAAGAGAGAGAGAGAGAAATTCTTTTCATTTGACTGGTTTGGCTGACAGCCCTTCGATGGTATGACCACATTAGGCAAACATTTAATGTATTATTTGGACCCATTGTAAATAAACCATCGTTTCATTAAAAAATCATTGTAGATGTGTATCATGGACAGAAAATATTGTATTATATGTATAGCAAGAGTTATGAAAAAAAATATCCTAGCTGGCCAACCACATTGGTGTATTGGATTGACTTAGATAGCTCATAATTAAGTGTTTTAATGTGTATTATTATTAGTCATATCTCTTATAACGATACGAATTTAAGGTAAATAAGACGCAAAAAAAAAAAAACTACCTAGTGTTGTTTACATACTTTACCGTTTATTTTAATATACTGACGCATTTCATGTGACCTAAATTCAGAGTAAAAAATAAAACCTAATACATTAACAAATGGAAACCCAAATTTGGGCCTCTAGTTAAAGAGTTCTGTACACGTTAAAAAAATATTCGTTCTACTAGTTAAAATTTTAACGGATACGAAAAAAAAATAGGACCTATGTCGTTATATACAACCTACATGTTATAAGTTGATTATAAAATATCAAATAACAAAAAAAAAAAATCTTCTCTTTAGTTATACCGCAGTAAAGTATAACTTTACCTACCTAACTGAAGATAAAATATGATATTTAGACTTAATCTGAAATATTTAACTCAAATATAATTACTTTTCATAGGTAAAAACCAAACAATATTACTTCATTTTTATTCCAAGTAAAGAGCAAAATATACATTAATATTTTTATAGATATTGATATAATACACACAAGTCGAATAAAATACATTAGTTTAGTATTGTACAGGTCATAGATTGCCGGTTAAGTATAATAATTAAAATTGTTTATTAATTGACAATTTATATAATAATTATTACATTATTATAGCTAACTTGTATCAACGATAGGAAAACAATAATTTATCATATTTATTTCATCTTATTTATTTCTGGGAATGACACTTTCTTCTTAACAGTTCTTCTTATAAAACATTATAATATATTAATGTCAGGTTTTAATTATTTATGTTGTATGCATTTGTTCATTGTTAAGAATGCAATAATTACAATTAACAAAGAACTTTTACACAAATAGAAAAAGTCAACTCC